TTTTTTCTAAAAAATCAGAAACACCAATAATATTTTTTATTTATGTTAATTTTTTTAATATATGCCATAAATATATATTATTTTATTCATGTTACTAATGTAAACGTTGCATGGTTAAAATAAAATTCAAATCTCAGTTAATTTTGAATGATAAAAATAACTTACGAAAAAGTAATAATTTTTATATGATAGAAGTACATATCTAATTAATAAATACAAACAAAAACGTGTTTATATCTGTGCAAATGAACGGGATCAAATACTAGTTTTATTAAAGAGTTGGCTCATGTGACAAACAGATTGATGTCGCTTAATCAAGGTCTCGGGTTCGAGTCCTTTTAAATGCAGAAAACCTTTTTTGGGAGACTCACCCACAATTGTCAGGTGTGCGACTCTAGTCGACCAACGGATTAGTCGGGAAAAAGTTTCGGATACCGTGACTGGCTACTGAAAAAAAAAAGAATTTGTATAGTTCCATCTATACATTGCCAGGTGTGCGACTCTAGTCGACCAACGGATTAGTCGGGAAAAAGTTTCGGATACCATGATTGGCTACTGAAAAAAAAAAAGAAAGAATTTATATAGTTCCATCTATACATACATACAGGGCCGACTTTAGGGAGAGGCACCATAGGCCCATGCCTAGGGCCTCCAATTATTAGGGGCCTCATATTTATTTATTTATTTATTTATTTTTAATGTCATGTATTTCTCACTAGTAGACTTAGCATAGTGTGACCTAGCCCGTCTATTTGTTGACAACAGACCAGTACTATCCATCAATGCCACAAAGACCATAGACGACCTCTATTTCGTGGAAGAACTCCTTCTCATATGATGCAGGGCAATAAGACCAACTGCCCGCCCTACCTAGTGAGAAGAAAGCAACTAAATAGTTGCATAAACGAATTCCTAGCCGAGCCCTATACTTACCTGCTTGTACGGTCATCTCAGCGACTACGTCGCAGCCTATTTGTAGGGGTGAGCCGTTATCTACGGATTAATAATAACAGCTGGAGTTGGATTCTCTTTGCTGTCAATCCTGCCGAGGGACTTGCTTTCATACGCAGACTCCGCTTCGTCTTCTGCTACTGCAGGAAGAAGCTCACAAGGAAGACTCTTACGCGTACAAGGGCGTTAAGCGGAAAGCGAGTCGACTTATCTCCTATTCATTCTTTGCTATTCCTTTCTGGCTCATTCAGAAAGAAGGTAGGCTCGATTACATTGACCAAGCAGTCAATCGAAAGAAGACGATTCACCTACAGACGATTCCTTTACTATTATAGGGCATTCCATGCTAGCTAGCCTTTACGGCAATATGGGCTGGCCTTTACTAAATGAAGGCTTAAGAGAGTGTTTGGTTTTGTTTAGTAACACAAATAAATGAGCTAATGGCTAAATATGAACAGACCATTACACAAATGAAGGGGCTAATTAATGAAGGGACTAATAGCAAAATATGTATTTTGTGTAGGAGTTTGAGGCCCTAAATATTTCATTTGTTTTCTTATGATGTTCAGTAAGAACACGTTGTGTGAGAACAAGATATTCCTTGATGTAATATGATTTCTATTTTGTCCTCTTTATTGTATTCGTTAGTGTTGAATGTAATTTATAATTTATTAAAGGTAATTTGTGCAAGATCTAGAAAAATAAGCAAAATCATTTTTTTCAATTATTTATTTATTTAATAGTCTTGTTTAATTAGTTTTTTTTTCTTGTATGATTCTATCTACAAATAGCCCTACCAACATAAGTACAAATCGTAAAATTCGAAAAGGTAAAATTTGTCTGAGGCCTCCAAATTTTTAGAGACGGCCTGCATACATATACATTAAACAATACAATGAGAAGTGCACCATTTATTAAAAAGTTAAAGAATATATCAAGAATCCAAATAAACACAATTATTTATCAAAGCAATTAAATGAAGGGAGGATCCGATCTGAATTTCCTAGGAAAACTAACTAAACAAATAAAATAAAAAATGTAATCTTTTTAAACGTCCCATGTCCTTGAGTTTTACAACAGTCAAGGCTTCACATGCATAGATCTTCAACTAACAACAATGTAAAAAACGAAATATATTAATATTTAAGAAACAAAGCAACTTTTAATGTTCACTTATATAAATATATATATATATATGTAATCATATCCTTTATGCCTGAACTAGCTTAGAGAAAATTTAAATTGCTACTACACATTAATTATATATCATTTTGTGATACAAATAAAATCTACAATTGATCATCAATCGCCCAAATTTTCCCCCAAACATCGCTTTAAATATTCGGATTCACTCGCCTGGCGAACTTTGGATATTAGGCTTGCTCGATTCCAAAACCCAAGACTTCTCCCCATCTTTCGAGAGTACATTTGTTGGGATTGTTTGGCTTTCTTTATTTACGAGCGACGAAATAGCTGCGGCAACCGCCATCCTGAGCTTAGGATCGTTAGCAATTTGACTCGAATTTTCGGCCGTCATTATTGGAGATTTGCTACTAATTATATTCCCTTGATGATGATCAAGTACTTTGTGCCCCATATCTTGCACCAAATGTCTATTAGGGCTAGCAAAAAGTTGGCTTAGAATGGTGTTACCATTGAAATCGACTTGTTTAGGCATCCAATTGGAATGCCCTAGTGGGGACATGGAGTTTGAGGAGCTACCAACATTGTTTGTGAGGTCAAGTACAATGCCCCTTGTAGGGTCATGATGGAAATTAGGGTTTAGGCCTCTTAGGTTTGGCATGTAATTAAGAGATGAGGGATTTATGAGAAGAGGGCTATTGTTGATATTGTTGTGAAGTCCATACGGATAATGCGGATAATTTAGGGTCGAAGGTTGCATTCTATTGGTCGGGAATGGATGATTGTTAGCGTCCAACATTAAGAAATTGGTCGGAGCTGATGATGCTGCTGATAACATTGATGCTGCACCTATCGGGAGTGGATGATTGTGTGTTCCTTCATATGTCGTGATTAGGATTGATCTGTCTTCCAGACATCGTTGGACCTAATTTACATACAACCATTTCGTAAAAAAAAAAAAAAAAGTAAATGTCACTAATGTATAACAAATTTTATTATGAAATTGTTCACCTCCGATTAGATTATAAGACTAACTAGTAGAATTCGAACTTGAAAATATATAATTGGGAAAATTGTCAATAATAAAATTTATTTATATTAAAAAAAGTGAGAGAAAAACCCCAAATTGGGGAGAGAAGATAATTTACTTATTAATTATATATCTATGAGAGAAGAAAAAAAAAAAAAAAAAGGATGGGGGAATTAAAACGTACTTGTTTTCTGACTGGGCAAGCAGGAGCTACAGTACAACGATAATAGGCCCGTGGGCATGGATTTCCTTTAGCAATCTTTTGCCCGTATTTTCTCCATTGGCACCCATCGTTCATCTACATAATAATAATTGATCACATGCAAGATTTTATGTACATGTTTACTAAAAGAACACACACACATATATATACTAATAAATGGTGGAGGTGAAATTAAATTTCATGAACTCACGGTGGCTGCTTCGCATCTCGCCCTGACCGAAACCCTAGCTCTTTTATTCGGCGGAGAATTGATCATATTATTGTTGATGAATCCGTTCAAGTTGTTGCTGTTTAGCTCACTTTGTATGGGCGTAAACCCTCTCGTGGCGGCCTCTTCTCTTTTTTCCTTTATTTCTTGGTGTCGATCAAGTTCGACTTTACTACAACTGCTGTTAGGGACCTTCAAAGATAACCCTAATTCATCGTCATCATCATCGATATTTTCTTTAACAACTTCGTCTTCTTCTTGCGATGTCGATGCTCGATCGCTATTGAATCCGGAAATACTTTTATCCGCCGGTTCACCAGTCGGGTCGGCCTTTTGACGACTCCCGTTAGGTAAGAAAACCATATTGGAATCCTAAATCAATTAAACAAAAAAACTATGGTAAAGAAGCTATATATATATACATGGATTTATCTAGTTCAAATATTCACAAACCATAAGTTCAAATCATCATGAAATTAATTAAAACTAAATCAAGTTGATAAATTAATCTTCTGTATATTATACCTATTGGCTAATTACGACTTACCTTGATCTTTAGACCGTTTTGTTGAATCATATTATATTTCGTCTGCAAGTTATTGTAGTTTTTCATGGTCATCTCCACCGCGTCCCTTAGGAATTTATTCTCCTCCCTCATTCGGTTCATCTTCATCTTCATAATCGACAGCTAAACAAAAAGAAAAGAGAACAACTAGTTATACATAATTAGCCATAATATAATTCATTAGCATGATTACCAAGGAATTGTACATATGAACTATATGATCCATACAACATGGAACATAACAATCCATGAGAGACAAAAGAAAAAAAAAAAAATTGAAAAATTGCAAACAAAACATAAGTTTGATAGTAAAAAGAACTTTTCAAGTACCTCTTCTTTCGTGAAACCCTTGCAAGACCCTTTATCAGAACTAGGCCGAGTATTTTCATCATCTTCTTGCACCTTCGATTCAAGAGACAAAAACGTGTGTTCGGGTTTGTTTGCGCGGTCTTTCGCATCGAGCTTGAGGGAGAGATCGATCTCCATTTGTCTCAACCTTTCTTCCTTAACTAGTTCCCTTGTTGTAGTTTTCTTTACATTGAAATAGTTATCAGGAATGTGTATATTATCTCTCTTGGGATAGGTGCAACTTTTCATGAGACACCAAAGTCAATTTTCCCTAGTCCGAAATTAACGAGTTAATTATACTACTACTAGCTAGGAGCAGCATTAGCAGTCAATAAGTACAATTACTAGATTAAAAAGTGTGATTAGGGAAGCAATTAAGGGACGCGTCTAATTCTTGACTTGTATTACCCTCTCATCATTTTTAATTATATCCCTTGTTAGAGGCTTAGGTAAGAAGCTCTTGAATCTTGATATTTTTTTTTTTTCGGGTCCTTGTGAAATGACACTAATGCCCTAAATCTTGAGTGTATATATAGGCAAAATTGCATTTTTAGTCCTGCTGGTTTAACGCTGTAGCATTTTTAGTCCCAAGATTTGAATTTTTTTTTATCTTTGGATCCTGCAATTTAATATTTTGCTGCAATTTCAGTCATTTGGGACTGAAATTGCAACAAAATTTAAAATTACTGGACTTAAATTGCTAATAAAAAAATACATCCAAAAGATTTTTTATTAGAAACTTAAGTCGTGTAATTTTAAATTTCGTTGCATTTTCAGTCCCAAATGACTGAAATTGCGTTGAATTTCAAAATCATAAGATCAAATGACAAGAATATTAAATTCTTATGACTAATAACGCTACTGAATCAAACCAACATGACTAAAATTGCAATTTTTGCGTAAATATATATTTATATCGGTCCAAATTCAACTAGGGACAAAAATATATAGTTTATTCACCATCATTTTTCACGAAGGGTATCAAACTTTAAATTATTAATTTTTTTAAATTATATTAATTATAATAAGCACTCTGAAAACGAATCAAGGGTAGTGATGGTAATATTGTACCCCGAAGAATTTTATAATTAAGAAGAAATAATAAATGTAATTTGTACTGAAAGAGAAGATACATTGTATGTCATTTATAATATACTACACTATGTTATATATATGTGCACTTAATTAAACGAAATCCAATATACTGAAGAAGAGCTCTTGGGATCAGATCTGGAAATAGTCAACTAGATGACCTTCACACACTCTTCCCCATTAATAAAAATTATAAAAGTATTCCATATATCATGCATGTCCTCGTACACCTTTTTTTTAATTTGATGAATATTCACTCTAGCTAATTGATCATAATAGGTAGTGAAATGAAGTACTTGATTTTGGAGTTATCTAGGGAAAAGAATTATAAACGGGGTGAGCAAAATTGTACCGAAACTAAGAGTCTAAGACCCCATCAAATTAATGACTGTTTTTTTGGGGTGAGCAAAACTGCAGCGAAACCGAAAAACTGAACCGAACCGATGCGTTCGATGCAGTGCAGTTTGGTTTTTAAAAGGTTCTGTTTGCGGTGCAGTTTGAATTTTAGAACACCATAACAAATTTGGTTTGGTTCGGTTTTGAGTATGGACGGTGCGGTTTTAACCGATTGCACCGAAACTTTGATGCGTCGAATAAAATTGCTAGTATATTTTCTTAAACGTAAAGTCTTACACGGTTTTAAAATTTATAATTAAATAAAATTAAAATTTAAACATGAAAAAAAGAATTAGTGAACTTAATTTGATTTGTGTTTTGACTTAAGGTTTAATTTGTATGGTTTGAACTTTGATTTGTATTTTTGTATTTTTTAATTGCGGTTAAACACAAAACCAAACCGCACTAAACTAAAAATTTCGGTTGGGTTTATTCTTTTCTTGCGGCGTGGTTCAGTGTATATATTTTAGATATTTTGATTTTTGCGGATCGATTTTTGGTTGAGTGTATAAATTTAAGATTTTCGATTTTTGCGGTTCGATTTTTGACTGAACTGCACCGCAAAAAAAAGGACAAACATGTCCTTTCTTTTTCATCATCGACGAAGATATGAGAAAGTAGAATCCAAGCAACAACAAAATTCATCAGATAGGATTTTCTCAGCTACAGATCCTTCGAATACACAATTCATGTGTATGGCTAATTGGCTTATAACAAAATTCGCAATTCGGACCTCCATATTTTGCTGAATTTACCTATTTTTATAACTCTAAAAAAAATAAAAAAAACTTCATTAGATGTACAATAATTTGTCAAATTTATTGGAAAAAAATGTTCAGTATCTTAAATTATCAAATTTTCTGAATTCGCTTCACATTAATTTCCATAATTCTAAAGGACTTATTGGTAACTGGTCTTCGATCTGGATTTCTATGTTTATCAATATGTTTACAATGCATTAATTGGTGGTTTAGTCACGTGCATGGTCCATTATCCCAATTAAATTTTAGAGTAGCTTTGAAATAATTATATTTAGTAAAAAAAACAAAAATAATTGAATACGTAGTTGACCTTAAAAAAAAAAAAGAAAAACGAGGGCTAACATAATCTTTTCATCAAATCTCTAAAAAAATAATATCGAAACCCGATTGTTATGCAGTTTTCATCTTGTAAATCAACGTTTCCTATGTTTGCTTCTTAATAATAATTAATATTTGGACAATACTTTTGGGGAGTACATCAATTGGACTTTCAAATATACCTAATCAACTTAGCGATAATACAAATTTATCACGGAGCCGCCGGCAGAGCTGCAGGACGCGGCGCTTCCGCCTATGTTGGGGGAATAGTTGACCTCCACATCAAGATTTTTTTTTTTTGTGGCATTTCTTTGTTGTATTTGTTAAAAGAGTTAGTTCATTCTACGAGTAGTTACGACTCGTACATACACGAGTACCCGTTTAAATAGATATGTGTTCGGGAGAAGGTTAAGGCGGAAAGGATCGCAAAAAGGGGTCTAAGCAGTTTGATGAAGGTTTGGCCATCGACATGGCACGGGGGAAAAGAGGTTAGCTTTATATAGGGTAAAGAAATTGACCTTGCTGAAGGTTATAAACAAGGCGAGGAGAAGTGAGTAAAGATCGACGAGGGGGCAAAGGTCCCCGAAACCGCGGATATGGTGGAGAAGGAGCGAGCTGCGAGTCTTTGTTGGATTTTAAAAACTAAGTAGAAAGGCGAGAACGTGGACTTCATCAAGCATGTTTATGCCAGTAAGAAGGATCGTCTGGAGTTGACTTCTAATGACGACAACGAGCAAGACCTGGATGTAGGGGTGGTTATGGGGAACATTATTTGTTGTGTTTTTGCACTTATTTTTGTCTATTTTATGTGCTTTAGTTGAGCCTTTTTAGGTTCGTTTTAATGCTGACAAGGCCATTTTATCGTGTTTTGTGTATTTTTGCTCTCGTTAATCATTTTGTGTTTTGGTCGTATTTTCTCGTCTCTTTGGTATTGATAATTGAGCTATCTCGAGTCGTCCTGGGGCATTTCCGTTCATGACCCGTGCCATGCCGCGTCCGTGCACAGCGCCCTCGCGCGCTGATGAAGATGTGGTCATCGACCCTTCCGAGACCGAGGACGAGACACCCTTACACTGAGGGCGGGGGTGCGCGAACAACCGAGAAGGGTCGGGGGGCCGTAGGAAACGGGCGCCGACGCGCATAACCTGGCGCGCGCATGATGGGCGCGCGACTCGTGGACCGGCGATACGCGTCAATCGGGTAACGAGGCGCGCGGGGACGAGACGCGTAAAGAAGGACCGCGCAAAGGAGGGACCAAGCGAGAGGATGCGGTGGACTGACGTGCGTACGACAAGCAACACGGGCGTTGCGCGAGACGCGGCCGACGGATGCAAAGCATGCGCAACGGACGGCAGGAAGGCAAGACGCATTCGGTGCATGGAGGATAGGGCGTCGACCGCGCACGGGCAGACCGACCACACAGAAGGAGCGCAGGACAGTACGCAGGTAGGCGAGCACGCGCGACGCCCGAGTGGGCGGGACAGCACGAGGCGCGACAGACGAACACGCTCTATGGGCGGTAAGCGGGCGCGCAGCGATGGGCGCGGGCGATGCGTGGAACGCGTGGGATGCGCGAGAGTCCGAGGCCTCGGAGGACGGGACTAGCGCGGTAGCGCGCCGCCTAGGGCACGGGCGCGATTGGAGTGCGACGCAAGGAAGATCCGATTTACTTAGCATTATAAGACTTTTAGTTTGGTTAGGATTTGGAATAAAGGCATGTGCGTGGTTAGCTATTTAATTATTTAGCAAGTCTTAGATATTAGAATATCTAGTTTTACCTTATAAGTTTATTTTATTTCCAAGAGTTTGAGTCTAGTTAGAGTAGGATTAGATTTATTTAGCCTCAATAAATACTTGTGTTTACCATTCAAATTAATGATTATGAGTTAATAAAAAATCGTTCGCAAGAGCAAATTTCGTGTTTAAAACTAGGCTGATAGTGCGGGTTTTATCACAACCGTGTTCGAAAGAAGGCCTTAAAGCGCCTTTTGTCACAATTCATCATGTTTAAGTGAAGGCCGTTAGCACGCGTTTATTCACAAACCGGGTCAAGATACACGATTCTTCATCATTGGTGCTCTCGTTGAGAGAGGTCAATCGTGTGTCTTGTCTAGCTTTTTGCTTTCT